GGGGGGGAAGAGAGGGGGGGGGGGGGGGGGGGGGGGGGGGGCTGTGTGTTGATTGAAAACTTCCAAATATGGACCGAATGTCATGAATAGCATGCTATTTGTAGTACTTAGCGGCACCCAAAGTCTTGTGTTCTCATTATAATCTGGCCCCTCAACTTTATAGAAACTTGTCTAGGACACCACTTACTTTTGTCAGTATTCAGAATAGGACCACAAACAAAATGCAACATGTTGCAATTCTATGTACTATTATCTCGACCTCCAGGAGAGTCGCGATTATATCCAGCCGTCCAATGTGTTGTACATCAAAAATTGATCCAATGTTTTACGGTCAAGAAGGAATGGTTTCCTTGGCGGTTGATCGTCTGCATGCGTGCCACGTGTCAACATATGTTGCAGCAAAATGTCTGGTTGAGAGATTTGGTGCTTCAATTTGACCGCTGCCTCCACAACCCAAAGACATCTAAGCACGTTGGCACCGCCATGTGAAGGTCAGGCGGTCACTATTGGACCTGTTAATATTTAACACGATACGATTAATTGACACCAATTAACATGAATTAAACGAGTTTGTGTGAGATTTTAATGAGTTTGAGTGATAAACAGGTTGACACATCAAATACGTTTAATAAACTGGACGTGTTCGGGTGAGACCTGTCAAAATTATTTATTACATGTTTACCTGTTTAAATAAAATTAATATAATAATAAATTAATAATTATTTAAAAAAAGAAGCAAAAAAAATAAATAAATAAATTAATAAAAAAAGAAGTAAAATAACAAGAGGAGATGAGAAACACTTCAAAAACAAAGACAAACAAATGTCTTTTGTTTTGTCCCACATTGGAAAATGAGGAGAGATTGAGAGGGTTGAATTGCCTATAAAAAACAATGACCTCTTGTTTTTTTTTTTAAGCCTTCAAATTTTATTTTTATGAGATTTAGCTAGAAATTTATCTTTTTGAGATAAATACAATTGACAATAAAAAAAAGTGGAGTATTAAAATTTGTTAATATAATTTTGTTAAAATTAAATGGGTTAAATGAGTCGCCGTGTTACCCGTTTATTAAACAGGTCGTATTCGTGTTAAGATTTTTTATCCGTTTATTAAATATATTGTATACAAATTTATATATATTTTATCCTTCGCCCGTTTAATTTCGCATGTTTGAAANCCTACATACTTTTCTACATCGACCTAATTAGTTCAAGTTCTTTTATGATTTATTTTGTACATTTTCATATCGAAACTAATCTTTTAACTACTCTTTCCTTGAGTTATACTATTTTATCATTTCAAATGAAATAATTACTGAACACCTATGTCTTTTATTTTTTTTTTATTTTAAACACATGTGGGGTATTACATTAAATTATTACTAGGTACAAATAAATTATTTAATTGATATTGTAAAGAGAAAATGTATTATTTTTTGATGTAGTACAATATGAATTATTTTTATAATTAAATATTTTTTAACATAAAATAATATAATTTAAATTGGAAATAACACGAATGATACGATTTAATTGACTGTGAAGACCTATCTATTGATTGCGTGGGACTAAAGCAGAGGCCTGAGGGGTCACCGAACGCCATTGTATTTGTATATGGGAGGGACGCTTGGCAGGCAAACCCATGGGGCACCGAAACAAAGATGCTGTGCTGGCTGGCTGGCTGGCTTGTTCATAACCCTCTCCCTGTCTGGGTAGAAAATATCTGTGGGACTCCCTGTCTTGTCTTTCTAACCTTGTTTTGAACATTTTAGCATGAATTTTTCCTACCTACTATTGGCAAGGTCAAACTTCTATTTTTGGTTAAAGTATGAGAATTCGTTACCCGACCCGACGATTGTGATTGTTCCGAAAAAAGGTTTTTTTTTTTTTTTTTTTTTTAATTTTGGCACGGTTAATAACTGCATATAATCACTAACGTAATAAAAAGTGAAATATATAAATAATAATAATTCCAATGTAGGCCATCAAACCGAACACAACTACCGAAAAAACACAAAATTCCAATCAGTTGAAAAAAATACAAAATGGAAGTGTGGGCATGTGCGGATAGGGAATAGGGGTGTAACTTGGGTTGAGTAACTCGATTTTAACCCGAATCTAACTCGAAAAAATTAGGGATTGGATAAGGATTTTTAATATTTGGGTTGCGCTTGAGTAAAAAAATTCTAATCCGAATTCAATTTGGGTTAGGATTGGGTTAAGGTTTTGTGAACCCGAGTTCAACCCGAATCCGACAAATTAAAAAAAAAATTNTCACTAACGTAATAAAAAGTGAAATATATAAATAATAATAATTCCAATGTAGGCCATCAAACCGAACACAACCACCGAAAAAACACAAAATTCCAATCAGTTGAAAAAAATACAAAATGGAAGTGTGAGCGTGTGCGGGTAGGGAATAGGGGTGTAACTTGGGTTGGGTAACTCGATTTTAACCCGAACTTAACTCGAAAAAATTAGGGATTGGACAAGGATTTTTAATACTTGGGTTGCGCTTGAGTAAAAAAATTCTAATCCGAATTCAATTTGGGTTAGGATTGGGTTAAGGTTTCGTGAACCCGAGTTTAACCCGAACCCGACAAATTAAAAAAAAAATTATATATATATATATATATATAAAACATTAGCACTGATTTTTTATTTTTGTTTTATCGTTCTATGTCTCTCTTGTTCTCTCAGTCTCTCTCGTTAAAAACTTGGTTGAAGTTATTGATTATTAATTTAGGTGAATATTATGTAATATACGTATTAGGTTTAAAACAACAAACCTATTATGAACTCTACTAAAATTGAACCCGTAAAATAATCCGAAATCATAAATCCGAATTCAACCCGAATCCACCGAGTTAAACTCGGATAGTGCTCGAATTGAGTTCCCCAACCCGAGGCAGGGTTAGAGTTAAGATTAAAAATTATATATTTAGAATTAGATTAGAGTTAATTGTCCAACCCGTCCGAGTTGCACCACGGGAAAGTGCTTCTCTCAATGCCGNAAAGATTATATATTTAGAATTAGATTAGAGTTAATTGTCCAACCCGTCCGAGTTGCACCATGGGGAAGTGCTTCTCTCAATGCGGTGAACTCGACGACTGCTCTGCCGCTTCCATGTTACCAGCTACCTTGCCATTCATGACGGACCAGAGATGAACTCCATTTATTTATTTTATTATTGTCGAGGGTTTATTCGGTTCGGTGGTCACTGAAAGAGTCAACCTAAATATTGTTGCGAAAGAAAACTCAACGTTACCCAAAAAAAAAAAATTTGGTATTAATACTGTCAGATATTATTTTATACGATAAAGTTAGAACTTAAAAAAGAGAAATTACAACTGCTCAAGAAAGTAACGATCAATCACACACCTCATCATGAAAAACACAATATTAATCACAATATTAATCCTAACTTTCCATGATCAATCATGCTCTTTAAAATTACTTTTTTCGTTCCGAAATATCTGTCGTTTTACACGAATTTTTTTGTTCCATAATATATGTGATTTAATGAAACCAAAACATAATTAATATTTTTTCTTCCAAATTTACCCTTAAATTTTCAATACATCAAATTAGGTGGAGGCTAAATATCTTTCATATAATACGTATTAAATAAGGGTATTGTAGTCTTGTGTAATTATTTTTTACTCATATTACAGCTATTTAATAGTTTTCTTAATTCTTGTACAAAAACCTTAAACGACAGATAATTAGGAACAAAGAANACCAAAACATAATTAATATTTTTTCTTCCAAATTTACCCTTAAATTTTCAATACATTAAATTAGGTGGAAGCTAAATGTCTTTCATATTCATTTCCTTCCTAATACGTATTAAATAAGGGTATTATAGTCTTGTGTAATTATTTTTTACTCATATTACAGCTATTTAATAGTTTTCTTAATTCTTGTACAAAAACCTTAAACGACAGATATTTAGGAACAGAAGAAGAATAAGTTATGTCTCAAAAAAATTATAACTTGAATTTTAAAAAGTGTAACTTTGGGTACCGATACTGCCCATCATACCGTAGAACTCCCCTTCTGTGAAACTCTAAATTATCTGGAAGCTTCAACTCAAGTATTGTCTATATTTACATATTTTTTTAACTTGGGTCCACTTACTATGATTCGAATGGGGTCCCAACGGCCAAGACATATTGCTTCCCAAAATACCATCCCAACATTCATTCTTGAGCTGGAGGAGCCTCCCTAGATTGGGAGTTTCCTTTTGGGCTAGTGGGTTTGGCTGATAATCGATTGCTAATTCTATCAAGCCCCTGTTTTCCAACTTAAACATCGACAGATCAGAAACCTAGAATAAGTCAGGAGAATGTGTACTAGTCAAAAACACATCTAATGTAGATTTCTGATCATTATCCTGTTGAGGCCTGTCAATCGTGATTTAGCAAATGCTGAACCAAAAATCAACAACTCACTAAATTCCTGGTTGCAATGGGGATAAATATTTCCCGTTCTTATATGTGAACATGTCGGAAGGAATGTTGTCTACTTACAGCTCTTCTAAATTCTTCAGCTTATTGACAGTTTTCGCTTGCGTGATCACCTCTATTTGCTTAAAAACAGCAGCCTCAAAATCCACTCACATCCCCAATATCTTGTTCCAGGAGCAACTGGACAAACCCAAATGCCATTATATATTAGCTCATGAGTTATAAGAATACTGAAAACTGTAAAGAATCCGATAAGAAAAACAAACCTTAGCTGCTTATTGCGCCTGGAAAGAAATGCCTTTCTATTGTGGACAATAGACCACCTTGTTGTCCTCTATTGCTAGGTCTTACAACTGTCACCGTATAACAAAATCAAAACTGGCAAGACATGACTAATTTTGTGAACTTTCGGCTCCGTTGTCACACTCAGCACGGACAGCAGGGTCACCTGTGGATGGATCAATCTTGATTCCGGACTCAAACTTAGCTGCAAATGCCAACATTGATTGGAGTGACTTCTGCACTGAGATTGGTGAATTTGATAGGAGTGACTTCTGAGAAGAGCTTGGTGTGCTTTTACTATCTCCATTTGCCAACTGCTGCAAAGATTGTCCACAAGAAAAAGAAGAAGATGGCAGTGTCCATGACATTGCATTAGAGATTTGAGGTTTATCAACCCTTCTTTCTTTCCCTTGAACAGATGATGGAACACTATTACTCCCTTGAGTAGATAGTAAGCTTTGTTGTTTCTTATTACTAGAAACATCTTGTGGAGCTTTGCCATATGAGAGAAAGTTTATGCCCCGGGGCACAACTGCAGATGGAGTTTGGTTTGTCATCTGATTCGAATTCACAATGTTTGATATACTTTGACCAGCCCGATGATCAACGTTAGCACCATCATCACTCATTGGAGATGAGCTAGCTTGTTTACCCTCACTGGCATTGCCCAGCAGTGATTTTCCTGTACCATAATCCCCACTAACAGGTAAACTGGATGGTTTTATACTAAAAGAATAATCTGAAGGAGCTTTGCCAAATGACAGGAAATTAATTCCCTTCGGCAACATTGCAGGTGTTTTCTTTGTAATTTCATTCAACTTCTGAGCCACACCTGCAACACTATGGATAATTTGATCACCAACTTTTACACCATCATCTACCCTCAGAGATGAGGCAGCTTGTTTTTGCTTATTACTGGTATTGCCTACTGACAGTTTCCCTTGTGAAAAAAAGCTTATTCCTTTGGGTGCCTCAGCAGTAGATTTCAGTGTGGGCTGTGTCACCTTTGGTTCTGTACTCTTTCCAGGAGGGATCCCAGTGCAGTATGGTTTGGCATTGACACTGCGATGAGGTGCACCATGTATGGACAAGGGCTTTTTAGGACCTATATTGCTCAGCAGGGAAGAAGAACTTGATTCAGGATTGGAAACATTTGAAGCAATCACGGAACCCTCCTCGACTGGCATCTGAGGCATTATACACAACTATATGCGTCAAATAAAACCTAGTACCAGGAAGAAAAGCATGACAAAACATGGATAGGCATATAATTAAAACAATAAAAGAGGGAACAAACCACCTTATGTGAAAACATACAGTCAGAACCTCTGCTGCAAGAACCATTGGACACAAAATTGTTGCAGGGATACTTGGAGAGTTGATGATCAAATGGACACTTATCTCCTTTCATGCAAGAGTGACGTGCAAAATGACAGCATGGCTACACAACCAGAAGCATACAACATATATAATTAGTAATAAAAAGGTGGGACTTTAGCTTGCAACAAGAACGATACAGACGATGTAGGATGATGAAATATATACTTGCAAAGTGCAATATATGCATCATGCAGAGTAGTAACAAGGTCTGGAAGTATTGGTGATCAATTAGAACATGTAATCAAACAAGTTTGCACGTCTACCATCAATGAAAATCATATTCCCAATATCTTGTGATACTAACTATTGAACAGATTATGTGCATTGTTAAAATTTATGGACCAAATGACAACAATCATCATGCTAGCAGTCTGAAATTTCCATGCAGCTCCAAGGCTTAAAACATTTCAAAACCTCTTTGAACTCGCTAGCCACTAATAGGTGTTGGATCTAAAAATGGACAGGTAGATTTCATTTGGGATTACTCCTGGAACATTACTTTTATTCTTGTGCTTTTGTTCACCTCCATTTAATAAAATAATTCTGTTTGTATCATGCTTCGTATCTTGTTTTACAGACTAGTTAAAAACGAATAAAAAGGAGGAAAATTACAGTAAATACACTGTTGAAATAAACCTCATTCTGATAGCTTATCAGCTTGAGTTCAGGTATGTTGCAACCTTAAACTTGGTTATTGGAGTAGCATTCGACTTCAACTATAAAAACAGAGCATAAACACTAAGTCATGAAGTGTACCTTTGATTTTGTCAGGGGTATTGTATCGTGTGAAAATTTGCACTTCTCATCCTGTGAAAAAAAAACGGATATATCATCAATTATGCACTGGACATTTTCAAGCAATGCAAAAATCAAACCACAACAACAGGACTAGAAAATCCTACAACCTCGTGGCATCTTCCCTTGAGAAAGTGACGACAATATGCCACTGTTTTCGGTTTCAGAATTGGCTGCAGTTTCAACCTCTTAACACCAAGCTTTCTGTTCTTTTCTGCTCGTTTAATTCTTTCTTTTTTCTGCAGGATGGTGTGATGGTAAATAAACAAGTCAAATTCATTATACCCAAAGATGGTCATTTTGGTCCAAAAAGCATCTAGAATAAACATTCATGTCAGTGTTAGATTGTAGCAATTCCATTCAGTCTACAACCTCTTTGCACCCATACAGGAAAAGGCCATATAAATAGATGAAATATGTAAAAGTAATATATTAAAGGAAAGAAATGCAAACCTTTTTCTTTGTTTTTCTTTCCTTGGTCAGAATCCGCTTTTTCTTCTTGTTGTTGACACCTTCATCCTGCGACAAATACAAATATTAAACCAGATCAAATTACAAACTACTCAACTCAACAAAGTCTTTCTCTACCCCTACACTTTACCGTCAATAGCTATATCACTCTTTGCGCAGGGGCAAATGTAACAATGGAAAAGGGAAGCATATATTCCAGAAAACTCTAAATCATTATTCAGGAAGTATTTCACCTATCTCATCATCTGCAAACCATTATGAACACACTTACACTCTGACAATATAAACAAAAAACTCCCCGAGGATTTACAGGTAACTGCTTCTATAATCCACCCACTAGATATCATGGTTCACTTGCACCACATATTAACCCCCATATAAAGGAAAGGAACCTCAGTTTTTGTTCTTTCTATAACAAGCAAAACAAATAATTATTATCAAATTAAAAATCCTCTTCCTAAAACAACAAAGGCAAATCAAGACATACTCACAATGGCATATTTCAACTGACCACGACTGCATTGACTGACAATTATGACATGCTGTAAAACTGGGCCAAAATATAACTTGGGAAAATGAAAAAAAGAAAAAAGTAATCTTGCTGCATAAACTCTCCAGGAAAACAGAAAAAAGAAAGTCGTACCTTTTCAGTAGATCCAGGGCCTTCAATTTCAGTGTCATTTTCCCCTGAGATTTTGCCATGCAATGCCAGATTTGTAACACAAGCAGCTGGACTGCCAGACTCAACTCCACCACATTGCTTCCTAATTTCTCCAGTCTCTAGCATACTCTCATACTTGTGTGCCTTTTGAGCTTCTATAATCTTGCCACAAACAACCACTAGAGATTCATTCCCCACCTCCTTTCTGATCCTTTCTCTGAGTTCCACATCCATACTATTACCAGCATTATCAACTGCTTTGACAAATAAGGAACTGGACTCGGAATCTCTCTCAAGTCCTGCATTTTGTTCATCATGAGTAGACACTACTTCATCAACAATGGCTTTAAGAAATTTCACCTGTTCCACCTTCTTCTTCTCTAATGATACAACATCTTCATGTGAGAAATCCATTGACTCATCATAAACCCCATCATCACCCGAAATTTGCCCTTCTTCCATCTCTTCATCTGCAGTTACACATAAAGAAGAATCCATCGGCCGCCCTTTAGAACAAGTTATCAATTTCTCCAATTCCATCTCTTTCTGATGCAATTCCAGCTCAACTTCTTCTGAAAAATATCTCTCCACATTAGACCTTGTTTCTTCATTAATCTCACCAGGTTTTGTAGTTCCAGCGATTCCAGCGATCATATCTATACCGAAACACGAGTCAATAGTTTCACAAGCCTCACCAATAGAGAGTTCCTGATCTACTTGTAGCTGCTCCTTATGCCCAGATTCTTCCATATGAGGTTCCGGGTCATTTAAATAATCTTCTTGGTTATTGATCAACCTCAACCCAACTCCACCATTGGTAGTCTGGCTACCTTCCCCCACTGAGTTAACATTAATGTCATGAACCATTGCATTAACATGGTCTAACCCATCTACTCTTATTACTTTATGTCTACAATCTCTGTCCTCAGAACCAATAACTTCTCCATTCTCTTCTGATTTTTTCAGAACTATCCAACTCTCGGATTCCATATGATTAGGACCAACCAATCTATTGATTTCCGTCAATTGCCCTAGTGCACTGCCACCACAATCTTCATGCCAATATCAACAACAATGCAGTTTAACTAAAATTAGCACATAAACTACAATCTTCTTAATCTAACGTAACCATAATTACAATATCAAAAATAATGATTTGGTTAAATAGTCGTATCTGGTATTCATATGGAAATTACCTTGTTTTGGCTCCTCTGGAACAGTTGGGAGTGCATGAGACCGCTGAGACTCGTCGCAGCAATTGGAGAGAATGTGAACAATGGTACGGTAGGTCTCGCTCCTGAGATGTCTTCTGCGATGTGGAGGGAAAGGGAGAGGGGTTTGAGAGGGCTTTTGGGTTTCGAACAGTGAACTCTCCATTGGCGGCGAGTGAGGAAACTTCGAATTTTGGTGAGTTTGTAAAGTGTTCGCCTATGCGTCTTTGGTTTGAGCAAAATCGAACTGCCAGAAACCCAACTAGATCATCGCAATCATGAGAGAGCATTTGAGGTTTTCATATTTCTCTCTCTCTCTCTCTCTCTCTTCTTCGCTATACACCACCGCTACCACGGTACCACCATTTTTTAACGATTTCAATTTTGACAAACTGCAGGCAGGGACATGACCCGTTAAGCGCCGTGGATGCGTGGATGCAAAATGAGTAGATTTGAGTTTTTTCTTAATTCACCTGCTTATTATTAATAATCGATTAGATTGAATACGATATAATTAATAAATAAATTAAATAAAAATAAAATTTATAAAAAACTTTATTATATAATTTATTTATATAAATTACATATATTTCATATATGATATTAAATTAATATAATATGATTTATTAGATATAAATTAATAAATAAATTAAATATAGATAAAATATTTTTTTTATATAAACGTTCTAAAATTCGACACAAATCTTCGACACAAATCTGTTTAATTCAACACAATTGACAGACTCGGGGCGAACTGGTCGGGTTTATAACAACCCAAGAGACCCGGACGGCTTTATACAACCCAGCTGGATTAACCCAATCTGCAGCCCAATATTTTAAAGCCCCAACTCTCATCGCTCTGCGTCTCTCACACTCGCATTGCCATCCCACCCACTATCTCAACTCATTTCTCTCTCCCTCCCTCCCTCCCTATTCTCTCTCTCTGAAGTCTCAACTCTCGTGGCCACGATTCACGCCTCTATTGAACTTTTCCATCGGCAAAGTGTGAATCGGCAGAACTTAGTAGCAGAGCAGTCGCAATGGCTGCTGCCGTCCGCCATCCATCCACCCACCCACC